TTGTCAATATTCTGCATTACAAAGAAATAAAGTTAGAAAAATTGCACTTGTGTATCAAAGCTGCTTGTCAGTCAACAAACACCTTAACCCACCTTATATATGTCAAACCAATATGACCTTTTTACTGGATACATAACCCGTAAGCCAGACATAATTGGACTATGAAGCACAACAGCTCTTAATTTTGGTAATCGAGTAGCTAAATCTAATGTAGGCCCACTTCCAACAGACTGCCCATATAATATAACATCTTCCTCCTTCACTCCATATCTTTCCACAAGACATCTATATGCAGCCTCTATGTCTGCATAAGTATTCTGCTCATTCGGCTGCAGGAACATAAGAACATAGAATTATATCTCCATTTGTGTTTTTTCCGTCGGATCAAAATCAAAATTCATCTATACAAGGTAAATAAAAAGGGGCAGTACTTGGTGATGCATTAACATACCTTGCCTGTAGACTGTCCATACCCAGAATAATCGTATCTGCAAGCAACAATAAAACTAGAAAGGATTAACCTACAATCATAAGCTAGCTAACTGATAAACAGATTCAAACAAACAGTGATCAGTCTGATCACAAATCAAAACAGCTCAAAGTAATGTCACCATGAAACCCAATAAGGGATACATCAATTCGCACAATAATTCCAAACATTAAAATTCAGCTCATTAACAATAGAAACTTCATCATTGCAAAAAGCTTCACAAAGGTACATAACAAACCCTTTCTAGGTCTCTATTCATCTCCGACGACTCCACCTAATCACCTTAATCTGATAATCTTTCTACACAAAAGATGGATTAAAGCATGTTCTTAGAAAATAATACAGACTATAATTACTATTTCAACAAACAAAAAATTCTTGCTTTCCCCATTAAATTAACCACAACCACCCAAAACAATCAACAGTTCCTGCCACACTACAACAAACAAACACTGAAAAGCAAAAAATCCCCCCATCAAATCAAAGAACAACACACATACACCAAATTTTATTCTTTTTCAATTCCATCAAATCAACTACAGAAAACCCAAAAATAATAATAAAACCTGTAATCAACAGAATTAAAGTACAAATTAATTTAAATAATAATAATAATAATAATGATTGAGTTCATGATTTTACCCCATCAAATTGACTCTGAGGTGAATACTGAGCTCCCCAAAAAGCTCATACATCTGTCCCAAATCAGCAGCATTACCATGAGAATATAGAACAGTGAGTTTTGCCACTGGATTTCTCATAAAAACTGCCACAATTTCATTCCCTTTTTTTGTACTTAGCTTCAAAACATCTGCATTTTCTCTCTCCACCACTTCACTCATCTTCATCTTCCCTGTTCCTTCCTCCATCACCACCTTATACGACGGTGGGTCCGGCGGAAAGAACGCGAATTTCGCCGCCATTGTCGATGTCACCGCCCCCATTTTATCAAATCCAAGATTAAATTAGCTCAAATTTTGTAAGATTTACAAAATTTTGGGTTCTCTACAACAATTCAAAATTCGAAATCAACAAATTCATCAAAAATTTATTTCTATTTTTAGAAAAAATATAGATATAGATATGAAATTAACACCATTCAACACCAACAAAAATTGAAAATTAGGGAATTTGAATAAATAAAAAAATAGTAATAAAAAGATTGCAAAATCAATTAAAACTACAGGTTTTGATTTTAAATACAGGAAAAAGATAAATACCAACGTTAAATTACCAGGAAAAAAATAAAAAATAATACGGAGTAATAAAAAATAAAAAAAGCTAATTGCTTTCCTCAAAAATCATGTGAAGTGGAAGCAACTTTCTCTCTCTTCTTGAATTTCTTTCTCTATGTACAGTAAACATGAATCATCGAAATCTACAACAATTGCATTAAATTAGGGCTAGGGTTTCGAGAGAAAGGGAAAATTTTTAAAAATTGCCTTTTTTTTGGTTTATTTTTTTATTTTAGGGAAGAGTGGCTTTAGCAGAGTGTAAAGTGTTAGATCTGTGTAGGATTTGTTTTATTTTCGTTGGTAATAAATAAATTTTGAAAGTCAGATGTCCAAATGTGAAAAAAGAGGAGAGAGAAATTTATTAAAGAGAGTTTTCCGGCGAAATATTGAGGTGTCACGTGCCGTGGAGTTTCGGAGTCGAAAATACCCATTAAATAAAATTATTTAGGGCTTTTCTTCCCCTAGAGCTCATGAATCGTATTCAACTTAATTTCAGCTCAGTTCAATTTAGCTAAGTTCTCAATTTCCTTCTCTCATAAAATATTCATTTCAACTCTATTCAGTTCCGTTCAGCTCATTTCAGTAAACCTGAATAGGCCCTTAGTAACATCGTTGGTTTGAATGATATCTACTCTGTACTTATATGTTTGTTTGGTAAAGAACTTTATAGAAAACTTTTAGCTTATAGAGTTTTACTAAAAGTTTAACTATTTAAAATATTATTTTGGATGTTTGGTAATATGCTTATTGAAATAGTGTTTTGGGCTTGGAAAGCTTCTTTATTAGTTATAAAGCTAGTTATTCCATAAGTTACTTTCAAAAAACTCTTATAACAAGCTGGATCATACAGAGTATATAGCTTTATAAGAGCTTTATAATACTTGTATTTGTCAAATACTTTTATACAATCAGTTATCTGCAATAAAATAGTTAGACCAACTAATATAACCAGTTAGTTAAATAATTTTTTTAAGGGAAAGTTAGTTAAATCATTGGGAAAATTGTCAAAAATAATACAAACTTTGAGCGATCCGTCAAAAATAAGTCAAACTTTTAATTATTACTAAATAATACAAACTTTGGTAAGTATCCGCTTTAAACAGGTTATAACCGGTTGGTGACTTAATTAGTAGGTTTATGGGACACGTGTCGTTATTCTATTGGTTTGATAATTGAATTTGTTTGTTTTTTTCATTTAATGTTTTTAATTTTTTAAAGATATAAAATGACATTTATTATTATTTTAGAAATTAAAAAAAAAAAAATCTCAGCCACCTACTGAACCAGCCCCCCACCCTGCTAAGACCAACAACCGCCTTTGACTAACGACGGTTCGTCGACCACTGTCCCTAAATCCGGGCAAACACCAACCCAGTACTCTCTCCCAATGCAGACCCAACCCTCTCCCTTCCCCTACCTTATTGCATAATAGTTGTGACGCCTCAGCCCAAACCGCTGCGAAACCCCACAAAATTAGCCCAAACCATCGGGAATGAGAAGAATGTGTTTCGGGCTACAGCGGGATGGGGTTTCGTGGGTGGAGGAGGAGGTTTCTTGGGTTTTTCATGGGGAGGAGAATGGGATTTCGGTGATGGTAAATAGGTGGTTCAAGGGAGGGGGAGGGCGAGGGCGAGGGCGAGGGCGACGGTAGGTATAAATAGGCGGCGGGCCGGCGGTATAGCTGAGGCTGGCGCTGTCGGGGACTAGGGGAGGGAAGCTGCTGGTATGTGACTATGTGAGGGAAGAGGGGTGGCCGATGGTAAGGGAAGGGCGGATAGGGTTTTATATCTTTTTTTTGTTATTTTTTTAATTGTTAATTAATTATGATTAAAGCTCTAATTAGGAGTTAATTAAATTTTGTAACTGAATTTATCAAAAAAATATATAAATTGGTAACCGGTTATTTAGGTTATAGGTTAAGAGCTTGATCACATTTACTTAATTTTAGTTCAGTTCAGCTCCAATCAGTTCATTTCAGTTCAGCTCTAATCAGTTCAGTTCAGTTCTTAATTTCCCTCTCTCATAAAATATTCAGTTCAATTCAGCTCCAATCAGTTCAGCTCAGTTCAGTAAATGTGATCAGACCCTAATTATCTCATTTAAAGTAGATACTCTCTAAAGTTTGTATTATTTAAAAATAATCAAAAGTTTGACTTATTTTTGGCGGATCGCTCAAAATTTGTATTATTTTTGACAATTTTTCTTAAATCATTTGGTACAACTAGTTATACCAATCAGCTTCACAACCAAAAAAAAAAAAACAAAGAAGGAATTGAATTTAGGTAAGTATAATAAACAATATGCACAATAGTCACAACTTCACAACCAATTTGTTACTTGATTGATACTACAAAATAAATTCATTTGAAAAAAAAAAACCCTATTCTCCTGATTTTCATGCGCAATTTTAGAAGAAAGGAGAAAGATACTCACTCCCTGAATCCCATATGCCTTGAATTTCAAATATAGGTTTGATGATGTTGTGATTTAGTGGAGTTGAATTGATGGGTGGATTATTGGTCCATGCAAGCAAAGTTGCAAACCTAACGTAGATTTGACAGTGAAATTGAGCTATTTTTTTTCTTCTAAGGTTGCTCAAGTATTTTGGGGGAATTTAGCAGATGAAATTACGCATTTTATGAGAATGACAGACAACGAAAATGATGAATAAAGTCAAATTGATCTAAAATATGAGAATTCATTTGTGCCCAAAATTTAAGGTATTGAACATTTGAAAATGGTGGATGAATGAGGAGAGAAAATTTTGTCCATTTAACAAAGAAAAAGGCGGTAAAATTTTATGACGATATCGAGTTTAATGCCTTATTCACTCCACCTTAAAAAAAATTATTCAGTAATAAAATAAAATAAAAAATGCAAATATGATATTTAAAACAATTTACATTTTTTTCCCTCCAAAACAAGACAAATTAAACATACATTTGTTTATTTCGGGGATAAATAAAATTGTTTATCACGTGATATTTTTGTAAATAAATCAATAAATTTTTTTAAGGAAACAACACCTTTTTCCCTATCCAATCATCATAAAACATGAGGCCCGAATATAATAAGAATATTATTGTTTTATTTACGAAAATACAATGTAAATAAATTTTTTCATTATACTCACACCTCACATTAGAACATTACCATTAAAAAAAAAATCATTTCTGTTTTCCCTTGTTATCCAAAAGTCATACTTTCACAAGTTAGGTTTGTCCTTTTGTCATGAACTAACTTGCTTTTTCTTGCCTAAAATAACTTATAATTTGATTACTCCGTATTTTCTTTTTCTTTATTTCTCCTACAAAGTGTTAAAAAAAAAAAAAAAAAACGATGAAATTACAAATAATTATTACACTTTGACGAAAAAAAATCCCATTTTTGGGGTTATAAAACACGCGATTTAAGATATGGAAAACTAAGATGAGATCACAGAGGAGAGAGAAAGATAGAGAAGCTCATTCTAAAAGAGATCTTGTTTAGTCAAGGTAATAATCTAAACCCCTCAATTTGATTGATCTGCTGAGAAGTTAAATTGATGATAATGTTAATATGTTTATCGATTTGGGATTAAATCCCACTGTTCTTGATTAAATTACTTCAGCAATTCTGGGCTAATTTGATTATAGTTGGAAGTTCTGCTTTTTATGACAATTTTTGGGTAGTTTTATGGTGCTTGATTAATCTTATGCTCTTAGCTATCAATTTAGGGTTTTGGGGGTGTGATTGATTGGAAAAATGGTTGAAATTGGGGATGTTTCTGATTCTAGGGTTTGTAGAAGTAGTTCATTTGTTGAGATAGATGATAGCCTAAAGCAAGTGGTTGCTATGAGTGTTTGTGGGTCTAGGAATTCGAGTCAATTGGGTGGTTCTGCTTCTGGTTCAAGGAATACGAGCCCGGTAGGGCGAACGGGGTCTAGGAATACTAGTCCATGTAAGCAGAAGGTTGTTAAGACGAAACCTCGGGGTTTGGATGAGGAAACCGTGGCAACGTTTAGTAAAGCCGTTCACCCGGATGTTCAGATGGAGGATAATATATGGGCAATGTTGCCAGAGGATTTGTTGAATGAGATTTTAGCTAGAGTTCCACCATTTATGATATTCCGGCTTCGTTCTGTTTGTAAGAGGTGGAATTCGATCTTGCAGGATGGTAGTTTTCTTAAGTTTCACTCCCAAGTGCCTTCTCATGGGCCTTGTCTTCTCACATTTTGGAAGAACTCTAATACCCCACAATGCTCGGTTTTTAGCTTACCGCTGAAAACATGGTATAGGATTCCTTTTACATATCTGCCTCCTTGGGCATTTTGGTTGGTTGGTTCTTCTGGTGGTCTTGTTTGCTTTTCGGGATTTGATGGTTATGATTTTAGAACCTTGGTGTGTAATCCACTCACACAGACTTGGAGGATGTTGCCAAGCATGCATTGTAATCAGCAGAGGCAGTTAATTATGGTTGTTGATCGCAAGGACAAATCTTTCAAAGTTATAGCCACGTGTGATATCTATGGTGATAAGTCGTTACCCACTGAAGTGTATGATTCCAAGATGAACAGCTGGTCGGTCCACCAAATAATGCCTGCAGTTAACCTGTGTTCTTCGAAAATGGCTTTTTGTGATTCTAGGTTGTATTTGGAAACACTTTCACCACTTGGTTTGATGATGTACCGGCTGGATACTGGATCTTGGGAGCACATCCCAGCAAAGTTTCCTCGGTCATTGTTGGATGGGTATTTGGTTGCTGGTACACAGAAGCGTCTATTTCTGGTTGGAAGGATAGGCCTTTATAGCACCCTGCAAAGTATGAGAATTTGGGAATTAGATCATTCTAAAGTACTGTGGGTTGAGATTAGTAGGATGCCTCCCAAATATTTTCGAGCTTTACTGAGGCTATCAGCTGAGAGGTTTGAGTGCTTTGGACAGGATAATCTGATCTGCTTTACATCTTGGAATCAAGGAAAAGGCCTTCTTTATGATGTGGACAAGAAGGTTTGGTCTTGGATTGTTGGCTGTGCTCTGCAATCATACAACAGCCAAGTCTGCTTCTACGAGCCAAGGTTTGATGCATCCGTCTACTGACCTTGAATTTGTTTTTTCTTAATGAGGGTTTCATGGGGCTTTCTTTGGCACTCATTCAGGGACATGAAAATTTCATGTCCCTTATTCCTCATTTTGCTTCATATAGGAAAAATGTTTTAGTTTACTCATATTATTGTTTCTAAGCTGAGACACATTGTCAGCTTGTGTTGTTAATGTTAGAAATTGAGACTATGTGAACATATAATCCACATTTGCTTTCTGATGAGTTCACTACAGAAGTGGTCTTTTATATTAGACATGACTGGCCATTTTGACTGAGAACAGTGATTCAGTGCTAATGTGACATTTGGAATGGGATGGGTTGGGTTGTTGAGATTTGTAATTGTACGAGTAAACATTACATACCATTTACGGGAGAATATGACAGGATCCTTTTGTCTCTCCAACTGCTGTAAACTAATTGACAAATCAAGCACTTAATGTAAATTATTATCAATGTTTATTGTTATACATACATTCTTATATTATGTGCTTTTGTAGCTTGTACATGTGCTGACATTTATCTTTTGTACAAGCTATTTTCTCAACTCTCAATATAAAGTTATTATGTCTTTGGAAATTAAATTACCATGATCTGGTAGACTATGGTTAAGATTTGGTATAGATGCTAATGAGCTTCATTTCACTTGTCTCAAATTGCTGGATTTTTTTTTTTTTTACACAATTGCATAGGTAATGCTATCAACTTTGATGGATACTTGCTCTTCCTTATTGCTAGAATATTATGTTGAGGAAACAAAAATGTAATGATTATTAATATAATCTATCTTAATCCGATAAAGCTACTAAATCTGCACTACTTCCTTCTCTGTTTAGCTTTTCAGTGTCACAATCACTTTAATACTTTTCTTGTGTATACATCAGTCAGCCTTTCTATCATCATTTAATTGACATAGTTAACAGTTACTCTATCTCTTTGCATCTGATTGATGAAAGTCGAAGATGACAAGGGTAAAGCTGTGTGGAAGCTCAATTTCATTGATAATATATTAATATGAGCATTCAGGTTTTGCATGCACTTTGATTGTGTTAACAATATGGTGTTATATGGTGTAGTTCTCAAAGATCATAGGGACGATGCAAAATTGTTTCTTTGGAGTTGTGTAAAAGTTAGTCATGGGTTTTTATTGATCATTATATCCTAGCCATAGCCTTGTACTGTTGGTGTGTGTATATATATATATATATATATATATATATATATATATATATATATATATATATATATATATATATATATATATATATATATATATATATATAATTTTATTTTTTTTTATCCTTCGTTTTAACGGGCAGTGCTCTTCACTTACTGGATTCTGAACTGAAGCCAACTTAAGTTGTTTATCTTAGACTAGTAACAAAGTTGTTTATCTTAGAGTCCTCAGATATTGTTTATCTTAGGCTTGTCATGATATTGTTTATCTTAGACTACTCACAAGATTGTTTATTCAAATTCATGGGTTTGAGGTATGGGTTTAAAATTCATACTTTTGACAACCAAACATGTGGTATGGGTTTGTCATTTTAAATCCATACCTTGTACCTATATTCCGCGAACCAAACGCCCCATAATTAGGTTTGCTAAAATTGCTCTATTGCATTATTCACATCTTTCTGTAGTTTTTTATCCAGTACCCTGAAGGTAGGTAGATACAGCTTTAAGATTGATGTATCATGATTCATGAATAAGATTTAGCATCTATCCTCTATGGCGGTAAGAATTGCACTGGAAAATTGTTATTGCCTCTTCTTTTTTGTTTATTGAGTTCTAGGTTGTAACTTGGGAGACAAAAATAACCAAGGTTTTACAGTACAAGACAATATGATTCACCTATATTTGCTGGAAGCAGATAGTATAATGCTGTGTAGTGGCTTTCTTTATCGTGTAGTCGTGTGAGTCCTTGTCCGCTTGATTTGTAACTCTGTCAAATTTTTACTTAAACAACCTCTTATACTTTTATTAGTTTGTTTGACTATTGATTGTTGTTATGTCTAATTGATTTTTATATTTGATAGCAACCGCTATGAAAGTATATATGTAAATATAAAGCTTCTTCAGAATCAGGACTGTGGAACTGTTTGCCTTAATAATCTGAGGTCTGCAAATGTATGACTTGAGGTGGCCATGAAAACGGAAGAGTTGTTCCTTTGTTGCGTAGGATATCTTGGCGATACACATGTGGAGGGAATTGAAATCTGTTGTGAAAATTTTCCTGCTAAGTTTTGGACCTACGGAAAAAGTCAGCCTAACAAGACTGAGGTGATGAGGCTGTGTGTCACGGTCCGGGAGTTTGGACCCCGAAACGTGCGGCACGCTCTAGCCTTTTGGCGGCAAGAACGCTAGCCTTGAGCGGAAGAGGGGCTTGTGAGCACAAAGCAACACAAGCGGGCAATAGAATTTCAGGAGCACTCACGTCTATCTGGGCGACGGAGTGCGGGTGGTCGGGGCTTGTGACGGCCGATACTTCAAAGCGGGCACAAGCGGGTCCGAACCACGAGTCCTTAGCACATCAAGTTGGGTTGGAGGGGAGCTAATATGCAAGTAAGACACAATATCTATAAAGGTCTAACAACAAACAAGCATAAAAGCAAGGCAACACTTGGTAGAAGGCTTTAAGATTTCATTAATCATTCGCCCTCTAAAGAGCTTTAAATGACATATAAGGAGAATCCCTAGTGAACACTGATCTGACAGTAACACAATAATGGGACCTCAAGCTAAGAAAACATAACCTAAACTCTAGGAAAGCACTTAAATGGAATCTAATACATCAAAAGGAGTTGGATTCTAACATCCTCCCCCACTTAAGCTGTCGACGACCTCGTCGACTTACAAAAGTTACAATCAAAATTAGAAAACCCTAAACTATCTCAAGTTTCGGATGCGCCGTTGGTGCGGCTATCTTCTGGAATCTTATCTGACTCTTGAGCTGGATCTTCTTTGTTGACGAGGAGCTTGTCTCTGGAGTCGCTCGGCTGGAACATCTTGTTGAGAGCTTCATCTCTAAATTTCCTCCTGGGAGTGGAATCTGTTGAATTAAGGGGGACAGCTGCTTCCACCATCATCTGTTGGGGAGCTGCTTCCTTGAGACTGTGGTGGAGAGCTTCAAGTTGTGGCTGGTGCCTCTTGGGTGACCATTTTCTTTGTAATTCCTTGCACGCGCCCAGCGTTGTTTGCTCAACCACTGTTTTTCCTCCCTCTTGGGAGGTTCTTCTTTGGTGTCTCTGGGCTCGTCGCTCTTTGCTTCGAACCTTGTGACTGATTCTGGTTTTGGCGGGTGTGTATCTGGGATGTTGCCAACTCCATGGGCTTCATCTCCCGCTTCTCTGGGTTTCTGGTGCAAGCTTGTTTCTTCGATGTTGCCTTCTTCTCAGGCTCCATCACTCGCATTGCCGAAAGATATCGGACTTCTGGTTCTTCTTGAGGTGCTATCATTCTCATAGCACTCAGGCGTCGTATGGAACTCATCCTATATGTGGGCTCCTCATCGCTGCTAGTCTCTTTTGTGGCCTCCTGAACGGACATGGATGACAATCTCTTTTGGATCTTGTCAAGTTCTTCTTTATGCTCGCAATCCCACCATTTGTGTGGACCTCGACAAAGTATGCAGTTTATTGCCCTTGTGTTTGCCGAGGATGCGCCGGCCCTCGAGTTTCCTGAGTTGTGGGAGGGGTAGATGTTTGTCTCTGGGCATCACCTCCTCCACTTCTTCTATGATATGTATTAATGGTGTTGGACGATACTCGTGAGCCGTTCTCTGTACCCTTTGGAGAGCTTGGAGACGGACTGTTAGAGCGTGTTGACGTCCCACTTGAATCCTTCTCGGATTGACGACCCTTCCCGACTGAGTAGTCCATCAATCTCTCAGCAGCACACATAGTAGCAGCGAGGGTATCAATATTCTGCCTCAAAATCTCTCGCTGCGCCCATTCCTTTAACCCGTTGACAAAGTTGAACACACAATCTTTCTCATTCATGTCTGTGATTTCCAACATTATCGCCGAGTATTCCTTAACATAGTTGCGAAGAGAACCCTTCTGGCGGCACTCTTGCAACTTCATCCGTGCAACAAACGCTGTGTTGACGGGGTAGAATTGTTCTTTGAGTTCCTCTTTGAACTCCGCCCATGTATCAATCTTGATCCTTCCTACTTCGATGTCTGCGTGCTTGGTGCGCCACCACAGCTTAGCATCTTCGGACAAGTACATGATGGCAGTATCCACCTTTTGATCGTCATTTAGTTGACATATTCGGAAGTACTGCTCCATGTCGAAGAGGAAGTTATCAACTTCTTTCGCATCTCTAGCGCCACTGTAGTCGCGAGGTTTGGGCGGCTTTATCTTCGCCGCACCAACACCCAGTGCGTCTCTGCCCACAGCGCGCGTTAAGGTAGCACATTTCTCAAGTGCTTCGTCGGCTTTTCCTTGAACAAATTGCAATTGTTCACGGAGGGCATCTCTGTCAGCCATCAATTTCACAATTTGCTCGGCTTGCTCGTGTACAATGACTTGGAGCTCGGCCCATTTGTCCGCCTTCTCCTCGAGCCAAGCGAGCCTTTCTTCTACGAATTCCATCTTCGTGTAGCCCTCCTTGGTGCCTACACGGGTTGCTTGCGACGAGGTTTGAGCCTCGGCTCTGATACCAACTGTCACGGTCCGGGAGTTTGGACCCCGAAACGTGCGGCGCGCTCTAGCCTTTTGGCGGCAAGAACGCTAGCCTTGAGCGGAAGAGGGGCTTGTGAGCACAAAGCAACACAAGCGGGCAATAGAATCTCAGGAGCACTCACGTCTATCTGGGCGACGGAGTGCGGGTGGTCGGGGCTTGTGACGGCCGATACTTCAAAGCGGGCACAAGCGGGTCCGAACCACGAGTCCTTAGCGCATCAAGTTGGGTTGGAGGGGAGCTAATATGCAAGTAAGACACAATATCTATAAAGGTCTAACAACAAACAAGCATAAAAGCAAGACAACACTTGGTAGAAGGCTTTAAGATTTCATTAATCATTCGCCCTCTAAAGAGCTTTAAATGACATACAAGGAGAATCCCTAGTGAACACTGATCTGACAGTAACACAATAATGGGACCTCAAACTAAAAAAACATAACCTAAACTCTAGGAAAGCACTTAAATGGAATCTAATACATCAAAAGGAGTTGGATTCTAACACTGTGCCACTGTGTACATCTTCACCTCCCAAGGCAAGATTCAAACCGGGTGTTTTATTCTGATTATTTCTATCTGTGCCTGCCTTTTGCAGTTCCCTTTTTTTTTTTTTAATTAAAATGTAGTCCCTCATGCCCACTTCTCCTTGAAACTTCACTGTTAATTTTATTCGTCTGATTTCTGTTATTCTGTTTTCCTTTTCCAGAAAGGTATGTCTGATATTGTTTCGTTGATTACTTTTTGCTTGTTCTTCTAGTTAACTTGTTGCCTGTCATGTGTGAGGTTATGTGTTTCTTTACTTACCATGATTATGTTGCGTTTCTTGGGTCTTATTGTTGTATCCTTCTATCTCTACGGGTCTAGGAAATGTAAATACCTTTCAAGTTATTCAACAAGGGCAACTTATGAGTTTGTTTTCTTTATTTTTGGGTAACTTCTTTAATTTCTTTCCAGATTAGCTCATCTGCTGGTAAAATGATAACGATTACAAATACAGGTCACAGCTGGATTTTCCATATCCGGCTAATTCAGTTAGATAATATTCAGGTGATGTGTCATTCGATTAAATTTTGGTTTAGTTCTCGTAAAATTTTGGTTGCTTCACATTGAGGGTCTTTCATCAATAGGATAATTATATGAAAATCATTGTAAATGTATTATATAAATGTTATGGTTGGTTTAGTTTAGGTTAGGTCAATTCCAGTTGGGGTCCAAATTGTTTTATCTAATTACCAACTTACTTTGTGTTTCGGGTCAAATAAGTTTTTCCAGGTCTAATGACAAAACAAGTAATAATTGCTTTGGTGTCATTTCTACTTTCAATGTTTTATTACATAAGAGAACAATGCAATGCAAATTCCTTGCTTAAATAATAAGCTAACATAATGCTATGATAGAGAGGGTTTATAGGAGTGAGTGACTACATTGAGCTTCATGAACTTATAGTTGTGCTAACTGATAGATGCTGATTGGAATGCAGTCAGTGGCGTACTGGCTGTAGCCTCTGCGTGCTATGATTGCATTTACAGCTTGGGTTGGGTGGAAAGAATCCCAGAAGACATACTTATTTCTGTCTGGACATGGTTGCTGCAAAGGAAGACAGGTGACTTCCCCTCCCGCTTTTCCATTCCCGCAGCAGGCTTTGGTTGCTTCAGAAAACCCTGTAACAGAAAGCAGGGACATTAACTAGTTAGTAAGTGTTACTCTTCAAAAATATGCACCTTAAGTAATATCTAAGTGTAGTTGATGTTGCTTCTCACCATATTTAGAAGGATTGTGGGTCATGTCGTTGAAGAGATCGTAAATATTCTGATAGACAAAGTAAGAACCTGGAAGGCTTTGGTTAAGTGTATTTGTCATTTGAATTAGACGGCTATTGAATGTAACCATCAAGTTATTGACACTTTCTACACAGCTGTTGTCCCTTGACTTAGATAAGAAAGAAGGTATACATCCGAGGGGACCCGATCCAACCAGCGCCATTTTTCTTGCACCTAGGTTGTATAGTCTCTGTAATCAGAAGGAAACAAAAATATGATGAGCTATGAATCTAAGATAGTCTATTTAAGCTGCTGTAATGATTATGATATTGTAATATTACGCGGAGTTGCTGAAGTGAGGTTAGGCTGTAGTTGTGGTTGAATGCATGGATTTTAAACAGGGTAACTGGTAAAGTAGGAAATTATCGGTGGTTTGCTAAGTTTTAGCATATCTGTATGTTGTACTTGCTATTTGTACTTGCTATTAATTACTGAAGTCAATATTGACTTGTCATTACATAAGTGAATTGTGCTATCTAATATCTATATGCCTCAGAACAATTGCTGTCTTTGAGATTGGACTGATATTTTTGTTAACATACTAACATAAAGGACTTAATGTGATTATTAATAAAGACACTACATAAAAACCGTAATTTTACATTAAACTTTTAATTACTATGGACTATAAACTAAACTGTCCTACTTTATTGTGAATTAGGTCACTCAGTTTTGTTTTGGATCAACAGTTTAACGGAAACAGCCTCTTTACAGTTGTGTAATAAAGGTAAAAGAACCTCTTTTCAGTTGTTGGTAAGTTGGCATACATATGAGCTCCTTTATACTATCTTAGGTGAGAGTTTCTCTTTGGAAGAATAACCACCACATACATAGCAGAGTTATTGGTGTGATAAAAATATGGATGGAATTACTATAGAATACTTTCAGCTATATCTTGTGGTGAATGGTATTTTATTGAAAAAGCTTTGAACATCATTAGTTGTGAATTATTCCCTTTATCCCTTGTTCAGTTAATACGCTTTAACTTTAATCACAACTTGGACCATTTGTTTTGCTAATATACTAAAACAAATGTCAGTAGTTAATACATGTTAATTACAAATATTGAAGGTGAAAACATGTCAACTAAATAGGGACAGAGGGAATATTAAGAACAATCAGATAAATTTGAAGATTAGACCACAATTTAGTTTTTGTCTTCTTAATATGTATGAAAAGAAGTATACGAAGGAGTCTTACTGTTATCTGGGAAGTAAGTGTACTCATGAGGAGATCAGCGAAGGATTCCCCGTCGTAGATACGACTGCTGTCATATCTCTGAGGTTGCAGATAGTTGTTGAGGTAGTCATTGCCTCCAATGTCGATTAGAAAGACCGACTTTGCGAGATATTGGCTTAGTTCCTCCTGGTTTCGGAAAAGCATTGGCAATTTCAGTGAAAGTGTCTCCTGAAATTGGGATATCTGCCCATTCAAGGATGTCCGCTGCCCCTGAAAAGTAGCAAGGTTAAGAGTGTTAAATGCTGCTCACTGTCACTTTCAAATACTATAGTCAATTTATCTTCAACTTGATTAAATTTGATATCAACATATTCATGGCGTCTTAGGTGGAGTTATATGTCAATATCAACTTGATTACTTCCTCTTATGTTTTTTTTAGTAAAGTTTCTCTTTTAAAATGTAATGGTTTTGTTTCTTGTACTTGTAATACTTTCATGAACCTGAGTGTTCATGAATACGCATAAAAAAATAAACATTTTATTGATAAGCTCTAGAATCATGTTATACATGGTAAAATGGTTGCTTAATAAAGAGCATGTTTATTATTAGAAAGCTTTTATATTTTCTATTCAAGCATAACTAAGCTTACATAATGCCTTCCAGTCTCATCAAGTATCCCTGCTGCTGCTGATGCGTAGTTGATTCCTCTAAGGATGTTCTTGCCAAATGTTGTAATCGAGAAGTATGGTGGTATATATGGCAATCCCAGATACCGCGCTGTTATGAGCATTGAAAAAAAAAACCAAGTCAGCATCAAGGAGCGAAAAAGATTAAGAAAGATGGGTGTTTGAATTCCAAGTTACCTCCATAATCTACGACAGTTAAGCCGTTGCTGAACCGGCCTGACGGACCTCCAGTGTCTATCCCATAAGGGAAGTAATTGGCCTTTGCTGCCGTGAACAAGTAGTTGTTGTTTCCATTATCTATCAAAGAGTCACCAAAGATGAACAAAGCAGGGGTGATTGGTTCAGTTGCTGCACCATCTTGAGCATTGGTTACCACATTTAGCTCAGGTAATAATAAGCAGAGTAACGTGACAGCGAAAATTACTCTCGTCTTCTCCATTTCTCTGCGTCTCTCTCTTACTCTATATGAATGTGTTTGTTTCAGTTTGCAGAGTGCAGACTTCGCTCGATTGCTTGGCTGTTTATAACTGCAGCGAAAGGGTCAGTGTTATTACCCTTGAAGGATAAAACAGTAAAGTCATAGCTTAGTTCTTATTGATTTACTTCTATTTTTGATGTGTTTTTCCCGTTTTTTACAGTCGCCCCGTGTTTGCAACTTTGGATTCTGACTGCAGTCAAGGTAAATGATTATGAGTTTTGGTCCTCATTTTTTACTTGTTGCATTTTCAAATTTTTTTTAGTTGAATTGCATTCAATATGATACATACGAGTAGGCGAGTAGCAGTAATTTACTCGTATTATGGGGTCATGGTATCGGCAGAGGTTACAGTTACAGGGATGGATAAAACCAGAGTAAATGCGCTTCATTTCTCTGTTTCCAGTTGTGATTCTGGAGCCGTCCCTGTTTCCGTCTGCAGTTTATGCAGAGCTACTAAATACTGAATAACGTGGCTTTTAGTTCGTTGTCTGGGTTTATATTTTGTTAATTGTTTTAGCTCTTACATTTCCGTGCTTTTTTCTTTTTCTAATTCCCCTGTAATTCTGTTAGTTTTGGGTATCGGAAACAGAGCTCGCAGGGCTGCAGGAAAGGACTAGTATAAGTAATTTTCCACTTAAATCTTCTTGGTTGCCCTTGATTTGTGTTTCGTTCCAACAAATTTGGGTCCGATTTTCACCAAGATTAAAGTTAAAATAAAAGGAAAATCTCCCATCACCTATGCCTTAGTGATATTAAAGTGTGTTGTGCTATTGGCTCACAAGTCAAAAGTCCTACTTCCTTCTTCAATCTTGTACAATCATGAATTCATGATGATCTTATATTAATATGAAGAATTGAAGATGTGTACTCGTAGTATATTTGTTATCCTAATTAACTTAAATAATTGAATGGATATCAAGGGAAATCTTAAATGGTTGTACTATCACTTCTCAGCTTGGAAGTTGGTAGTTGGATTTTCACCTTTCTCAACCCCTTTGTTAGTTGGGAGTTTTTATTATACTTGTATGCTGTATCTAGCCTTTGAATTAGGGTTTTTTCATAGTCTACTCCTTTGTGTCCTCTCCTAAGTGTCTGTTCACATTTACTGAGCTGAATTGATTGTAGCTAAACTAAACTGAATTGAAATTAAGCTGAAGTGAAAAGACCCCAAGTCTTATGTGCTCCACGATCAACAATAAAAAAAAAAAAAAAAAAAATAATAGGATTAACTCAAATAATGCATAATCATGCAAGGAGCAGCCTTGCTGTGAATGAGTAATTATCTGGCCATAAGCTAGGTCTGGTGAGGTTAATGATCAATTAAGATTCGTAAAAACTACAAAGGCTCTTTGTTAAAGACCCACAACAATGTTTAGTTTGTCTGAGTTGAAACTAGATACTTATGTTCGTACTTGCTTGATTACTAATTCTTCTCTAATTATAGTTGTTGCAGTTAGACTTGTATTAGATCCAAACTGTATCTTGACCTACTTGACCTGATAATTACTGTGAGGTCTTGACTCACCTTGACAAAATTCATCATAATAAATCTAACAGTAGACCTATATATGACCTGACCAAACAAATCCGAACCAAGTCACTGAGCACTTGAACATGACCTTAACAAAACCCGACTTTAATAAATCTGTTTTCCACATACTGTTTAAGGTTCTCCATAAATGGCATATGCAAAGTTGCAAACCAAGATCCAAAAAAGTTTCCTCCTTTAAATTTCAGTTAATCATCCCCTGAATGTATCAACTACCAGTTCTGCAAATTGCCCTGGTTACTTATTATCCACCATCTTACAAGAACTTGAGGCCCATGCTTCTTATAGATTAATTTCAAAACTACGCAACCACCTCAATTCAATTTATTCTGAAAAAATTACCAAATTCTGACATCTGAAGAGTAAAACCTACCAGCTAAATGCATGTTTAATATTCTTATTTTTTTACTTTGTGTAAGGGACCAGTAAAAAAAGGTTAAGTTTGACCTTCATAAAGGAAAAAATGTACTCAAACCAATTTGGTCACTATATTATCTTTGATTAAATTCATTATATGGTTATGTTTATATTTACTAAAACAGGGTTTTATTTGCAGGTGAAATGTAAACCACATAACATGAAACCTTCTATTGTGCAGCAAGGAAGGTGAGAGTTTCATTTATTACTCCCTGCCGTTTCTTTTCGGGCATTCATGGAGGCGGGCCCGCTCTCTGTCACGGATGCTTCATGAGATTTGGCAATGGTAAGATTATTTTAAGTACTAGTTTTATTTTTCTTGATCATCCAAATTATTCGATATAATTAGGAGCATCACAAACATTGAAGTTTAGATGTTTAAAATCCATCAACTTGTTGAGATATGTGCTTGGTGTGTGTGTGTGTGTGGTTGCGTAGTTTTGTTCTTGCTTGATACGATTTAGCAACTTTTTATTGCATGTATAAGAGATGTAAGTCTCAAAATAATCAACCCCGAAGAGTACTACGAGTATAATGGATTCTTTTTTAATTGTCTATATGGGGCTGGAAGGCTGTCCATGCTCTAAGTCCCTACATTGCTAAGGCACAGTTAATCATTAATACACAGCATGTCGAAATGCTAACTTCTATAGTCTATGGAAGAGGGACGGCCAGGCAGTAATGTGCTCACTAGTCCAGATTTTCGAGTCTTAAATATCGAGTTTGAATCTTCATAGTGTTAGGTTAGGACTACTTCAGGATTATATAGATAAAACTTGTGTTAACGTTTTATTCATAGTAAAGCACTATGCAACAATTGCGTGGTGCTCTGAAGAATATTTGCTAGTTTGATGATGGGTAAGACACTAAGACCAACCTTAAGAGAGGCGAGCCACGTAACATGTTTTGTTTCAAAGTCTTATTAGCCCCCTCTAATCATAATAACTTTAACAATTGGAATTTAATGTTATTATTAATTTATTCGCTATGAAAATCCTTTATGTTTATGGTTCATCCTTAAAATTTATATGATTTTCGTATAAATCATGTAAAAGTTGCAAATAATTTGCTACCTAGTGAAATTATTCATGCACTATAGTAGCATTTCTTCATTAAATCTACTTCTATCTGTTATGGATACCAAACACCTAAATCCATCAGCATTTTCAAAATCTGACAGTAGTACGTAACTGCAATAATAAATAAAAATGAATAAAAATACTAAGATTAAGTTAGTTGAATAATGTAGTATCACTGTATCTCTTATTAATTATGTGTATGTTAGATTTTTTTTTTTTCTTTCTTTTCATGGCAATTTGGTCGGTAGAATTTTGTCGGTAAAGTTTAAGCAGAACAAATTGAGGTTAGTACTAAGTGGGAATCTTGTCTTGGGTTGTTTTCCATTTACCAAGAGAAACAACATTATTATGTTGCTTAACTACATTAGCTAGAAAAAACCAGACAGACTTAATTGTGTATGGGTTCATACTTCATAAGAATCGAAATCTATATCATTACGTTTGTGGCTCTCTATTACTATTTACACGGGAAGTAAAAAACCCTCTCGTATTAGGTGACTAACAATTACTGTAATTTACGTGTTGGACTTATTTATTCATTTACCATGGGGGGTATACACCTGCACCATGACCTTACTGTGGACTGTGAATCAATTTGGTCATCGCCTTAATTAATGAGCATTTATCTACAATACTATGTACTGCAAAATAGTATAGGTTGCTTGTTATCTGATTATTGATTAAGGATGTACATCAGTACATGTATGGCGTGTGTACTGCATTATTTTCAGTATTCTAGTATTTGATGTCTCATTCAACTATTACTCGTACTTTACTTTTGTTATTGTTATATCAATACGCACTTAATTAAGCCGTAAATGAAAATCTGTGAACGTTTATCGGATTTTGATTTGGTACTAAACTATGTGTGGGTAAGGAGAAGTCTTTTTTTTTTTTTTTTGGGCTAAGGGGTGAGATCGAACCCTTCTTACAGAGGTGGAAGGAGGGCTTTCAAAACTTTAAGCTAACCTCGATTCTCAAATATATCAATGCTATGTTTTGTGAATCAAGAGCTACAAAAGCTGATGAACCAAAGAGGACTTTTTCTTCAAGGTAGATGAAGAAAAGACGAACCCGGTTGTGGTACTTGAGAAGTAACCATAAGCAATCTTTAACCTAGATCAAGTTCAAACCTTGTACTGTTTTACACTTATACAATGGTGGAGCTAAACTTTCATCAATTGGGTTCAATGGCTCAACTCATATACTTGTATTATTGTTTGTTCATGTCAATATATATATTTTAATTATACTTTTTAACAGTATCGAGAAAGACCTTGATCATAACTTAACCATCACCAAAAAAAAAAAAAAAAAAAAAAAAAAATAAATAAATAAATAAATAAAGTAAATGTCTTTGTCAATGTTTGATGGTACTCTGTATACAAAGTATAATACATTAGTACTACATACATTAATACTACGTATATACTTTCAAGTGTTATCAAAGAGCAAAGTTTTGGGCCAAACATTAATTCTCTGTATTTGTTTGTAATCACAATTCAGAAGACTATCAACCTAACTAGCTAAGTAACGAATGAAAGCCAAATCTTTTGTGTGTTGCTTAATACAACCACTAAATAGTGGGCTTCCTCTAAAGAAGCTCTCTTCCAACACGACATACGATATTTACCCTAACAAAAAAAGATAATATGAGATATTTTAACATTACACCCGGTTGTAGATTTGACACCTTATTAGTAAGATTACATGTATAATTTGCTACTTTTCAGCCAATTAAGCTGGTTGATGCTCACTGTAATTATGAGATATTTAAAGCTGAAGTTAAAGCAAAAATAATCAATATTTTTGTGTCAATATTTGTAAGAAGTATTGAGTACGACAATTGTTTCTAGTTTAATTATTTGTCTCATTATAATTTGTAATAATACTTAATGTATTGCTGATATGCTTCCAAAATAAACAACTCTACCTACAAATCCACCCCAATCCCCCATCTCAAAAAAATATCAAATAAATTAATTAAAAAAAGGAAATGAGCCTA